CTCTGAGACTGATCCCCTGTTACCGACCATGCCTGCCCCTGTTTTACCCGCCTTGCCTGACTCCCGGTAAACCCACTAGCCTTCTGATCCTGACCCTGTTTAAACTCTGTCTGCTGTTATCGAAGTTTGTAATAAAAGGTCAAAGATCCCTGGAATCCTGTGTGTTGCATTTGGGTCCATATACAACCCGTTACAGAAACAATGAGGGTAGAATGGACATTCTCATGCAATCTCTGACATTTAAGTTCATTTACAACTATTAAATATCTTAACTTAAACATACTTTATCACAGACTTTTATCAATCTCAAATATCAGCATTGCTCTTAAAATCCAATGTCTGTGGGCTCTACATGGTTTTCTCCTCATCTGTTAGATTTAATATCTATTTAAAGAGCTCTTTTAGTGGCTGATAAGTAACCACCCATTAAAGCCTCTGCTGTCAAAATGTAATTACCATGTTTCACCTCGGTTTGGTTCCATTAATGGACTGGGCAACCCAAACCTCTGTAAAATAACCCTCTCTTAACTAAACGCTCCTCTGTGATCTGTCGGTTAGTCATTTTACTGCCTGAAGCCACAAACGCGTTGATGTTTTAAATGTAAGCCTCTGAAGATCAACTCAAATACGTAATGTGAGTGAATACCGATAGACTGTGTAGCAAAACCAACTGTGTGTGTGTGTGTGTGGGGGGGGGGAAGAGTCAAGGAGAAATGGCTGAGCATATAGGTCCAGGTGGAAAAATAAAAGAATCTCTTTGTATTTTTCCAAAAGAGAACGATGGGTGGACTAAGAAGTGAGCCTGTGAATATAATATATAACGTAAAGTGGGTCACATGTATCTTCATCATGATGGTAGATGACCTTCGATTGTATTTTACAAAGCTCATATTGCATAACGTTATGCCGAGGCTCAAAACAGGAACTAAAATGGTAAACGGTTAATTTTACTATCTGTGAAAACTCTGTGCGAACACACTTCCTTGAAGTCAGAGAGAGAGAGACAGCAGCAGATGAAGGAGAGGTACATCGTGCACACACTACATCTGAAGATTGTGTATGAGAGTGACGGAAAAATATTTTAACATTTCAATAAACTAATGGTTTCATTCAGCGGTGGAAGAAGTAGGCCTCCTCAGACATCTACTGAAGGAAAAAGCAGTAATAGTGTAAAATACTACAAATTAAATTCCAGCATTCAAAATATTTTTTAAGTATAAAAGTAGGCTACCATCTTCAAATTATGCTTTAAAGAACCAAAAATGTAAGTACTCATTATGCAGAATAATATAACATTTTTTGTTCACCACTTACCCTTCTTAATAGGCCTCTGCTCAAAAATTGCATACCCATACTAAAAAGAGTGTATTTCTGAAACTAGAAGGTCTTTTTGAATAATGTTGATGTTATAATAAAGGTAACACTTGTGAGATTTGTTCAGATGTGTAAATATCAGTGTATATGTTACTGGTTAAGAGTAAATGAAGATGGCACACAGCTCAAATTGAAAAGTTTCAGGTTCGCCTGAAAAAAAAAGCATTGAGAGCATGATTATCTCTTTTGAATGATGCAGCTGAAAGTTTAAACCTCTCCCAAATCATAGCACAATATGTGAACAGTCTCTCTGCAAATTATGACTTTGATAAAGTGAAGCAGAACAAAATTATAGAGGTTTTAGTACAGAGAGGTTAGGGTTAGGGACATTTTGGAACCAGCTGTTCCATTGCACTTTTATATACTATATATTTCACTTGTTTTATCACTAATAGTGTTCAATCTATCCAAATACAGAAGTTTGGCTTCATTTTGAGAGCCTGAATCCTATGTGCGTAGCTCGCGGACTCATGGCGAATAATACGTGATATTGTGGTAAATCTTCTAGTTGATTATATTAGTTGTGTAGAATTGTGTTTAGAGTGTGTAAAATGGCTTACATGATATTGTTGCCAGACTTTTTTCTTTAACTGGGTATGTAACATGTGTGTAACATTCATTGTATTCGTTCCTGAAAAGTGCATTCTACGACACTCTTCGCTAAGCTTTCTCGATGGAACCGCAAATGGTCCTCGCTCGGTACCAAAAGGTTTTAATATTGCTGCTGGTAAATATGGAGCTCATTTTATTACTTTATATACTGCTGGGTAGTTTAACCTATAATAATACATCATCATTGATAAGTTGATTACATTATATGATTATTAATCTGAAAAGTAACTAAAGTTATTAAATAAATGTATGTCTCCCTCTGACATGTAGTGGAATAGAAGTGTTAGCACTAGTTAGTACTTCAACACTAGGGATGCCCCTGGATACCCGGGTCTAAAGGGGAACCGATAACAGTAGTGAATACCCGGAGTATTGATGTGGTCCAGAGTTAACGCATCTGCTATCGCTACTTTAGAGGTTATGGAGGGAGATCTCCACAGAACAAAAACACTGTTGCAAACCTCCTCTCTCTGAGTCTGTGTCTTTGCACGAGGGGCGAAACAGACTCACATCATGGCAGAGAGAAGAAAAAGATCCAAAGAGTGGCTACATTTGACTCCAGTAGAGGCTGAGAACTGTCATCTCAAACTCAATAAAACCCTCAAAAGTAAGAGGAAACAGCAGTTTATCACAACATGTAGCCAACAAGCAGAGCATCAATGTGCAGAAATGCAGTTTTCTCACTGTTTAACGAAAACTAATCGCTCAACTAATTGTTTAGGTGCAACTGTATTTTAAGGATTTGGGAACTTTTTGTAGATTGTCGGGCTGAGGCTGACATTTCTGCTCTTGCTGTTCAAGAAAGACTTTGTTTACATATGAATAATAGAGCAATGTTGATTCTTCTTTAATTAATTGTCTTTTTTTCCTCACAAAATAATCAAAAATAACTGATGAGTATCGATACAATCCTAACGATACAACACTGTACTTAAGTAAAGATATTGAGAAAACGCACTTAGTTATACTTGACCATGGTTAACATACTCAAGTCAATACATGTCATAACAGTTATTAAGTATTTTGTTTTATAACAACTAGGCTACTAATATTTGTAACATCACAATCAATTTGGAAAGTAAACAACAAGCGAGTTTTTGTGGAACAAACGTAATTTTTTCAATGATTAAGAGAGTGCATGAAAAGCATCAAAATAGAGCTTGTTTATCAAAAATGTCTCCCAGGGAAGAATCCCCCAGAGCGGTGCCGGCTAAGCTCTGAATGTCCTCAAATCCTAGACACAGTCCTGATGTGTATAACGTCATTGGTTAGGGCTGAAGGTTCGGGGTGGACAGACAATCTCATATCTTTAGATCCAAGAGTTTGAAGGCTTTCCAGATGCCAAAACACTGCACAGAATTTGATACTCTGAGACAAGATTTTACATCTCTAGGTAAACCGTAGAAATATGGGATTCAGGTTACCAAATTTCAGTGGCGGGCCGTGCATTTTATACCTAGGCCTTCACTGCTGTCCTGCAGCTGAAATACCACCTTATAACCACATGATGGCACCACAGCTATTATATATTTTTAAGGCTGTAACTATGTACGTCTTCGTATTAAACCGTTCGGTACGAGTCGTTTGAACAATGCTAGAGCATTTAGAAAATGCAAAAGCCTAAATTCACGAAAATATAATGTTCTCAGCTGGTCTGGCTGTGGGATCCGCCATCATTCCTTAATGACAAGGCATGACCCAAAGAGATTATCATAGGATTTTACTTTCACAACTTGAACGTTGAACGTACTGCTCTGCAATGTCTTTCCTCGTCTCAGCCTCCTGGTGTCATGGTGCATGGTGCATCTCACTCAGTCAGAATGCCCATATTTGATTGGCTGAGCTGCATCACGTGATGTGATTCACTACCCGACAGCCTCTGCTGTTAAGTTTCAGAGCTGCACATGGACACTGAGCGGCACGTAATGCTGACGTCATTATAGGCCGGCTCGCAGGCTCTGATACGTCAAAGAATTCGCCCAACATGCCAAACTAAAGATCTGATTGGTTGAACACTAAGACAATCAGCAATATCGTCCCCATTTACTTTAATCTGCACTGGCTGCAGGTGAGAGTGTGCAGGCCTCTGGCCTCTCTTCTTACCTAGAGACACAGAGGTGAAATCTGATTGGATAAAAGCTCTACTTAAAACAAGCTGCACTGGAAGCAGAGCAACTGAGGAAGACAGTAGCTGTGCAATGAGAAAATAAGATAATGGGAAAATATTTTTATAAATTATAATACATGTAGTGTATTTAAGAAAAAATATTAAATTATAAAATAGATATAGCTTTGTGATTCTGTTTAGGCCAGCAGAGAAGGCCTTGCAGGCCCTGACGGCCCGCCACTGCCAAATTTATTTATTTGATTGGTCGATGCAGCACCTGGACAGATGATGTCACATTGCTGGCTGCCTCTGTGTTGGCCAGCCTCGCTGCATCACCAGGCTGGCCCAGTTTGTTTTCCACACAGATCTGAATTAGTTTGGAAAATGTCCTTAGGGTCAAGGATCCATTTCTTAAGGTTATTTTTCCCCCTTGTTAAATGTTCTTCCATATCTGAAGGGAGCTCTATCTCGAAGGCCTAGAAGGTGTCACATCTTGATCAGATTGTAAATCGTTAAGACAAATTTTTGATTTGGGAATGTATTAACAAAATTAACTTGAAGAGACATTGCAATGTCCCCAAACATGACAAAATGGGTGTGTGTGTATGAGCAGAATGTGTACTTCTAAATATGGTTGATGATTAAAGGGTCAATATATACACAAGAAGACGTGGAGGAGCACAACCTCTAGCTTCCTAGTGGATAGTATGTTATCAAAAGCACAAATGATGAATATGTCATTCCAGCGCACAGCATACATTTTTAATAGATGTTCTATACATCTACGAAACCATCTTCAGGGCTAACCTTTGTATGTTTTGAAACACTTGGATATATACTAAACATAACTCTCCTTATGGCAGCATAGGGAGGACAGAAAGACAGACAGTAAATATAATGGGAGTACCGATGTTGGCATGCTTGAGCAGGCGGCAGATCCTGGCCTCACGCTCCAACTTCTGGTGATCTGTGGAGACAAAAAGACAACATATCTGTTATCATGCGTCTGCTGAGGCCTCCTCACATTCTTCAAACCTCTCTACAGAGATTCCACATATGAAACACCACCCACCTTTACTGCCACAACAAATGTGCAGTAAAAGTCATTACTGTGTACTGTCACCAAGAGACGGACACGAGGAAAACCCTGGCATATCCAGAGTAAATAGAATTATATGTTCAT